AACGGTCATGCCAACAGCGATGTCTAAAATCCCTACATCGCTGTTTTGGCTGTTGACTTCCAAACAAGGAAAGTTTTAGCCTTAAATTCCTTCCAACGGTCAGGTCTCTACATCGATGTTCTATACTAGAACATCGCTGTTTAGGTCTGCCTTTGGAGATGGAAGTTTGGCCTGACAGCGCTGTTGCTGGGTCAACATCGCTGTCCAAAAACTTTCTGCCAATGCATTTAATTTTTGGCTTAGGTTGGACAGCGCTGTAGGGGAGCCTACATCGCTGTTCTAGAAGTTTCTGGAAATCCAACCTTGGCTCAACAGCGATGTCTAACATCCAACATCGCTGTTGGAAGACTTAACGCCAAACCATGGTTTTCAGCCACCCAAGCCAGACAGCGCTGTTGGTTTCATCAACATCGCTGTTGGACTGGTTTAGCCAGACCCATGGTTGGTTTAGTCAACCGTTAGCCGATGTTAAAAACGCAAGTTCTCCAAAATAAAAACCAAGTTGAGAAAACATTTTTTATTTGCATTTTGCTAAGAAATCAAGTAAAACATCTTGAAAACCACGTCATTTAGTTGAAAACCACGGCTAGCCAAGTTCGCGCCGTTTCGCATGGTTTTCACTAAACGACAAAAAACGGAGAGTGGTTTTTGAGGCGTTTTTGTTGGAGAACTATTTAAATATGCCTAGAACTAAAAACCAGTCATAAAAAGTTGAAAGCCACTTGGTTGGTTTGGACGCCAAAAACCAATGCCGAAAACCGACAGCCGAACGCCGGTTTCTGAAAACTGAACGCCGGATGGCTTGGTTTTTGGCTTGGATGAACTCCAAGTGTTTTGACCCAAGTTTAAACTTAAGAAAAGTATTTTTGAACATGTAAAAGAGATTTTTATGAATTAAGCCTAGAGAGCCAAGATTTGGAATTTTGTGCTGGTCTTGATCACATTAAGACCGACTCAATACAATTCTAGTTCTTCGTTCTTGATTCTGGGTTCTTGGTTCTCAATTCATCATGCCATGTTCCTTCGCCTTAGTGTTGCTCACTTTAGCTTCGATATGTGGCGGCGGTTTGGCATTATCAAAACCTGTCATAAACGAACACAGTTTAGTACGACGTAGGCGTAAACCCGTGTTCCAACAATTTCCCCCTTTTTGATAATGGCAAACAAGACGGGGATATGCATACTAAGGGATATGTGTTTTTCAAAAGTTGTGAAAAAAAAAGTTCCCCCTTAATTTGTGCTTTTTAAAAAAAATTAGGTGGATTAAAATTAAAATCAAACGATCTCGTTTGTAGAGACGTTCCCCCTTAGTATATGCATAGCCCTTTTCTTCCCCCTTTTGACATTAACAAAAAGATAAACGAAATGATTTTATTTAATAAAGGGAAATGGCTGAGTACAACGGAAGCATTAAAAAAAAAGGATAATTAAAGTAAAAGAGATAGAAATTCTAGGGGAGTCCTAGTCTTCGTCTTCGGTTTCCTCCTCGTCGTCGTCGACGTCCATCTCATCCCCATCGATGGCATCGTCGAACTCGTCTTCATCCGGGGAGCTTGACGGGGCGTAGGAGTCATCGGCTTCGTCTTCTTCACCGTACACTTGCCCGAAGAACGTGCCGTGGTGCAGTGGGGGGACGTAGTTGATGCCTTGGAAGTACGAGTTCATCGCGTATCCTTGGCGTTGAACAGCCACGTCGAGCCATTCAAGGTAGCCACCCATCCCGTCAACTTTGAGGTGGAGCCGGTTGAGGGAGTCGGCGATGGAGGCAAGGTTGGCCCGGGCCTGGGGTTCGGCTGGGCCAGCGGTAGGGGCAGTGCGGCGTGGCTCGGCAGTGGCAGCCGCGGCGTTTTCCGACCGCTTGAGGAAGGTTTGGTTTCTGATTGTCCAAATCTTCGTGGCCTTCGTGAGCGGGCCAATGGTGGTGGTTACCTTGAACCGTTCAAGGATGTCCATCACCAAAAACGGGTACGGGAGGAGGTGATCGTGGTCGGTGGACGCGGCGATCGTCATGTTGATCATGACAAACTTTGCCCAATTGATTGGGGCCGAATGCATGATCGCATGGATGAGCTTGAGGTCTTCCCCGTGCATGATGGTGTGGCCGTGCTTCCTCGGTTTGAGGATCCGGGAGACGATGTAGAGGACGAGGCGGCCTTCGGGGTTGGCGGAGTGGATGGTTGGGCGTCCCGAGGCATGGCGTTTGAGCTCGGTGATGCCAAGCTCG